AAGCGTCCCGGGAGAAGCCTGCGGGCCCAACTGCCGGGCGGGGCCCTCGCCTGGAGGTGCTCCGGGGCGGCTTAGGCAGCCCCCGGCAGGGTCTCTCCCCTGCCACCCCTCCCTCGCGAGCAGCTGACGGTGCTCCAGGGCCCCCGGGAGAACGCCGAGGAAGTGAGAAGAGCAGGAGCCAGGGCGATGGAAACCCGTGAGGTCCCCCGCGAGGGTCAGTCCGAGCAAGGCCCACCGGGGCGCCGGGAGGAAGCCGAAAGCCCGAACCGGGGGGCGTTCAAAGGCAGCGGAGAGTTTGCACGTGGGGATCCTGTGCAATCGAGCCGGGGATCCGAAGAGGGGCTTCAGATCCGGTGAGGGCAGAAGCAAATGCCCTTGAACCAGCATTTGTATAAATCCGCCTCCTGTCCTAAAATTCTTCAGCGTTCCCAAATAGCACCCGGGTCTGGGGCTGGAAGGGGGTGGTTTGCCCAAGCCGAGAAATCACCCATTTTGCAGCCGCACATCAGGGCCTGGCACACAGGGCTGCCGAAAGAGCTGCTGAATTCTCACAGCAGGAGGGGACCAGAAGTCAGGAGTCTGTAGCACCTTTTCCAACGAACCAATCTGATTAACAGGCAGACACTTTGCACAATCCGATTCCTGCAAGACGTTGAACACAAGTGCCAGCTTCTTAGCCTCATCTATGTTGTGTGAAAGCATTCGCTGCCAGTTTGTCCCACCGTCCTAACTTGGGAACCCAAATTTGGTCACACCCTGTTCACTACCACCAGCACCCCGGCCCATGGATATTGGGGGGGAGAGCAAAGGGAACTAATTGCATAATCCATGCCATTTCCATGATGACATCATGGCATGTGGGATGTAGTCATGGCTTATAACGAGGGCCTTCTGTCCCAGCCATTCTGATGTAAAAAAAAAATCCAGTGCAGCTTCTCGGGGGACCACAGAGAGCCACTCTCCCCGCCTGCTCCTGAACCCCTCCCCACTGGCTGGCCTTCTCTTCATTTCTTCATAGTTTTCCTAGATAGGGTCTTCTAGTCTCCTGTTTTCTTCTTCTCAAGGGATAGTAGTGTTGTGGATTCCTGCCCGAGGGAGTGGGTTGGATAGGTGACTCCCATCCATTTCACGATTCTATGGACTCTCCAGGCTTGCTTTCCTAGAAGGCAACTCGAGAGAAACATAAACTGAATCTCATTGGCCTTTCTAAAGGTGCCACCAGTTGTACTTCAGCAATGGCTTTAGCTGTCACCAGGTGTTTCTCCCTTACCTGAGAGAAAGCTGCTGATCCCTTTTGGAGCCTCCTAGAGCAGGCTTTGTGAGTGCAGCCAAATTCTTTCCCAACACGCACATCTACCCACACACAGAGGATACAGCGCACATCTACCCACACACAGAGGATACAGCGTTTGGGTTCATGCGATAAAAGTCAGGGCCACCTGAAGACAATGGACCTTTCTTTCTCACAGGTCAACAGGGCACCCCTTTCTCTTTTCCATGTTTCCAAACAATTCCTCTGCACCTTCTCTGTAAGGTAGGTCCGTCCAGATGATGATGATGATGATAAGAGGAAGAAGAAAGTATAGATTGGGGTAGAAAGTGTTGAAAAGGGCTGGGCAATGGAGCGATAGAGATGATGTAGGCGCTAGGAACTTGCCAGCCAAATGTTTAAAATTCTCAGTGAACTTTTCAGAATCCTGCAAATGGATTAACTCTGTAACTAGTTTAAGTATCTTCTGTGAACGCAGCCACTGTCCTCAGATGAATGGCCCACCTGAAGGCATCCTTCTCACTGTCTCGACCCAGTTTCCATCCAGTCAGCCTGGAAAACTGGAAGGCTTCACACATTTCGTTTCCTGGAACAGCCTGCTCTGCCAGCTGCCAAGAGGAATATCTGGAGCCTTGAATGGGGGTATCCAGCTGGAAGGGAATTATCAACACTGAATTCCAATACATCTGGAAAACAAACCACGTGTTCGCACGTTACACACCGGTTCTCCTTTGCCTGGTTTCCAAGTTAAATATTATTCTCAGTTCATACAATATACTCGGGTTATAAAAACCTAACCAGGGTCAACCAAAATCCAGTGGAGCATCTGCAAGGGGATCTGGTTGAGTTACCTCCGCTTTGCTTTAACAATGGTTTATTGAAAAATCAAATTGGCCAGGTTCACAGACAGGGCTAACCCATAAACCAAGGTTCCCAAAGCGTTCAGAGCGTATAAATTTAATAAATAACTCGATGGATGCCTTCATGCATCACGCTGAACAAAGCCAGATAAACTGGAGGATGGTGCGGTGTGAAGGGCCTCCATCCGCTTTGAGAAGAGGGTTATTCAGCATCACCGTTGAAGGGGGGAGGCAAATGCAGTCAGAATGGAGATTCCTCTCAACTTTAATCTGGGGCAAAAGCAGGTTTTCTGGTCGCACTTGTGGTGCCAAAGGAAAAGTGGAGCTGTTCCGAAGCAGGCAAGCCGAGGAATTCTGTTCTGTAACGTGGCAGGAGAGCTGTGGGCCCAAAAACAGGAGTCTGGTAGCACCTTTTCTCACTAACACATTTTACTAACAGGCAGAAGCTTTCATGAAATAATAATTTGCTAGTGGGAAAAGGTGCGATCAGACTGAGGCTTGGTAACACAGGCGAGACTAACATTCAGCACAGTCCTTGGGTGGTGCCCCTTCCAGGCCAAGGGGGCGAGCCTTTGGGTGATGCCAGCCCTAGGGTGCCCCACGGATGCCTTTGCCAGCGAAGCTGCCTTTGGGGGGGGGGCTTCATCCCACTCGGGCATTCCAAGAGGCTTTTCAAGGCAAAAGCCACTTAAGTGTGCCTTTTCCAAGGTAATGGCAGTCTTTTGCCTCACAATGCAGACTCAAGGTCACTTCCCACAGCTTAGGTCTCCCGCATCCCCCTTCCCCTCCTCCCTGCACCTTCCCAGCAAAGACTCTGGGCTTTCAGTCAGGCAGGTTCCAAAGAAATGGGGCAGGGCGGGGACAGAAACCCTGGCTTGGGTTCCTTTTTTTGGCTAGACAAAAAGGATTTTGTCCCACTTACGAATACCTCTTGCAAAAGCCTCAGGTTTGCCCCCCCACACACACACCCCTTCTCCTTCTCCTTCCCATCTCCTTCCACTGGCACACCCCAGGCAGCCTCCAGACTGATATTCATCACAAAAAGGCCTTTCAGGAGGTGATTTCCTGCAGAATCACCCAGCGCCAAAGGAGATTTGAATATGCAGGGATTACTGGAGATACAGCCTGTCTGCATTTCAATGCCTGATAGCCGGGTCTTTGGACAGCCCCCACCCTCCCCAGGAAAAAATGTAGCTGGGTGCAACCCCATCATTTCACAAAGCTTCCAGGTCCACCCTTTAGTCTCACCTATCCAACTCTCCCCTGCCACACACACAAATTTTATTTTCCCCACTTCAGATCCCGATGGAATTCTCTAAAAGCTTCCCTTGGGTTGGGCATCCTTTATTGCCAGGGTCACCCCGGGAGGAGCTGCTCTGCCCAGCCCCAAAAGGAACCCTGTTTCTCTTCCTCCGCACCCCCTCCGCAGGGGCACAGGAGGCAGAAGCAACCTGGATTTTCTTTTCAGGCTAAAAACAAAAGCCGGAAGTGACTCTCAGCCCCTGCAGCTGGGGCCGGGTTGGCTGTGCAAGATGGCTGCTGCCTGCAAAGGTGGCGTCTGCTACTGGAAACTGGAGCCTGGGCCGATGGATCACAACCGAGGCGGCTGCACGGGCCGTGCAAATGCACGGCTGGGCCTCTGAAAGCCAGGAAGTTGGTGTGTGGCCATCGGCGTCCACAGCTGGTTTCTTGTCTGCCCCTGAACTTTGCTTAGAGCAGTGTTGCTCAACCTTGGCCGCTTGAAGATGGGTGGACTTCAACTCCCAGAATTCCCCATGGGGAATTCTG